CCTTGGAGACCTGTCATTCACAAACCCAATTATGTGCAGGTAGAATGTCAGCTCTGACAGCATGAAACCATTGCATCCCTTTTGTGGTTGGGTTTTTATTTTTTTTAATGAAATCCTGCTTTACTAGCAGGTTCTATTTTCATAAATGTCTATTATTTAAAAAAAAAAAAAGCCCAATCATACATTTTTCCCCACACAGTCTTGAAAGGCTTTAATCAGTGTACTGAAGAGAGCTGTTGTACGTCACTGGGTTTATTTTGTCAGGAGGGGGAGAGAGACATGAAGACCAAGAGAAGTCCTCTTGGTTTTACCCCCAACCCTCTGATTCTTTCTGAACATCTGGATCTTGGGGTCCCTATTTGTAAGCAGAGGTTATTAAATTAGTATTTCCAGCAGTTGGAGTAACTCAAAGGTTGAAAATTCCCTGCAAATAAAAATACCTTGCCGCAGGAGCACCTGTTAATTATAAATAAGGAGTGGAAGGCAAGCAGCTAGGGAAAATACAGACGGCTCTCTGGCTTCAATATAATACTTTTGATTTCTTTCCCCTTTCTGCTCCTTGGTTTTGATTTTTCTGAAAATATTTGTTTTCAGGGTCAAGGGCAGTTTGTAGTTGAAAACAGGTGTGTCTTTTAGAGACAGTTGTTTGGATTAGATAGATGTGACTTTGAATCTGTTCTGCTTGCCTGCTTTGAAGGTGTTGCTTAACCTCTCTGAGCCTTTGTTTTCTTCTCTGGAAAATGGGGTGAAGTTCCTTTATTGGATGACTGGATGCAAATCTGAACTTGAATTCTTAAGCTCTAAGGAAGTCAAATGCTGTACGTACTGCCCAGGTTTGCCCCACTCAAACCTGGGCCCCCTTATCTTGCTTTACTTCCCTGACTTTCTGGAGATCTCAGCACCTTTAATGCACTGCATGATCGAATTCTTATGTTTCTTGTTTATTGTATGTTTCTTCTTCGATAACATAGGTTCCATAAGGAAAGAGTCCTTTGTCTTGAGTAGGTATGCCAAGAGCCTAGAACAGTGGCTGGCACACAGTAAGTCATTTGTCAAATGACTAAATTGGGTCCTAGCCATATTTCCTTTCTCTATTTTGTTCTTCCTTCTATCCATTGACACTCTTTCTGGATTTGGCTCTGTAATTCTGTAATTTGCTTCTCTCTTGTCTATTTCCTTTGCTTGGAGCTTCAGTTCATTAGATCATGTCCATTCAGCATTAAATATTATGTTCCTCCTTGCATTGCTAAGTAAGTGAGTTTCTTTGATGAATATTCTGGAGACTGAATAAAAATTCCTCTGCATTTTGTTTTAAAAGCATGGCTTTCTAGTAAAAGCCACTAGTCATCAAAGAGCTTCCTTAATTTGCTTAAGCACATTGAAACATTTTTCCCCTTAAGTCATAAATAGGCATAAAAAAAATTCTGAAAGGAAAAAAAAAAACCCTGACTGCTTCCCAACACCCCTGACTTCTGTACAGTAGCTGACTAACTAAAGAGTTACTGTTAAAATGAATTCTGACTATTTTTATTAGCCGCAGTCAAGGTTTGGATGAACATCTTTGAGTTTGGAGATGCAAACCAGATCTGAATGCACATTCATTCTGTGTATATTTTCAATTTGATGAAAAGCAGGAAGTGGGAGAATCTGACAAGTATAACATGGCTGGATTAAGCTGATTTTGTTTCTTCCAGTACATATTGGTGTCAAAATTCCAGCACAAGACATTAATAGGATAAGGAGAAAACCCAACTGATTATCTCAATAGTGCAGGAAAAAAACACATTTGACAATATCCAAATCCCTTTTTGACCTTAAAAAAAAAAAAACCTCAATAAACTAGCAAAGAAGGAAACCCCTCATTTTGATAAAGGACATTTTTATTTAAAAACCCACAGCTAAATAATACCTCATGGTGAAAGAGTAGATGTTTTCCCTTAAGATCAAGACTGAGATAAGGGTATCCACACTTGTCATTTCTATTCATCATTGTACTGGAGGTCCTTGCCAGGGAAATAAGGCAAGATAAAAAAGAAAACACAAGGCATCAGATTGGAAAGGAAGGCATAAAACTCTCCGTTTGTAAATGACATAATTTTTTATAGGAAATCTTTAAGAACGCATGTGTGCACACATACACCATTAGAACTAACACATGAGTTCAGCAAGATAACATGAACAAATCATCTGTGTTTCTCTACACTGACATTCTGAAAATGAAATTAAGCAAACAATTCCATTTGCAATGGCATCAGAAAGAATTGAATACTTAGGCATAAACTAAAACAAAAAAAAAGACATAACTGAAAATTACAAAATGTCTTAGAAATAATTTTAAATGAACTGAAATAAATGGAGAGACACATTTTGTTAATGGATTGCAAGACATGATATTGTTAAGATAGCAACATTCTTCAAATTGGTCTACAGACTCAACGCAATTGCTACCAACATCCCAGCTGGATTTTTTTGCAGAAATTGACAAGCCAATCCTAAACTTCATATTTTATGATACAAAAATCAGGGGCTCAGTCAAAACAATTTTACAAAAAGTTGGAGGACTCAAATGTCACAATTTCAGTACTTGTGATTCTTACATTTATGATCAGTTGATTTTTCACAAGGGATCTGAGACAATTCAATGGGGAAAGAGTATTACATTTCAGCAAATGGTACTGGGTACTACTGGTTACCACTGGTAATTAGATAGTCAGAATGAGTTGACTCCTAGCTCATGCCATATACAAAAACTTTCTCAAAATATCTATAGACCCAAATATAAGATCTAAAACCATAAAACTCAAATGAAAATATAGGAGTAAATACTTTTGATCTTTATCAGACTATAGTTTCTCACATATGATTAGAACACAAGCAATAACAGAAAACTATAAATTGTTCTCCATCAAAATTAAAAACTCTTGTGCTTTCATGAAGATCATCAACAATATGAAGAAAATCCACTGAAGAGAGAAGTTTCTTGCAAATCATATATCTGATAAAGGACTTGAGTCCAGAAATTGCATAAATAATGCTTATGATTCAACAATAGAAACACACTTGACAATTAAGAATGGAAGAGAGATTTAGATAGACAGTTATCTAAAGAAGACCTATATTAAGCATATATTGATAAAAAGATGCTCAACATTATTAGCCATTAAGGAAGTATAAATCAGAATCACAACAAGGTATCACTTCATCCCTTCCAGGATGGCAGCAATCAAAAAGATGATAACAAATATAGCAAGGATGTGGAGAAAAAGGAGCACTCTTTCAGCAATGATGAGAATGTAAATGGTTCAGATATTTTGGAAAAACAGTTGGACAGTTGTTCACCAAGTTAATGTTAATGTTATGACCCAGCAATTCCATTCCAAGGTTTATACCCAAGAGAACTGAAAACATATGTCTTTGTAAAACACTCATACATAAATACTCAGAGCAGCATTATTCACTAAGGTAAAAAAAAAAAAATGGAAGCAATCCAAAAGTTAACCAACTGATGAATGAATAAACAGAATGTAGTATATCTATACAATGAAATAATATAACAAAATAAAAAAGAATGAAAGATTGCCACATGATGCACCACAGATTATCCTTGAAAATACCATGCTGTGTGAAGAAGCCATTTCAAAAGACTACATATTGTAGGAGTCCATTTAGATGAAACTTCCAGGAAAATGTAAGACTGAGAAACCATAGAGACAGAAAATAGATTAATGGTTGTCAGGGCCTGAGGGGAGGGAATGTGGGATGTTGCTGTTAATACATGAGGCGCATCTTTGGGAGGTGATGAATATCTTCTAAAATTAGATAGTGGTGATGGTTTCACAACTCTGTGACTATACTAAAAGTTAGTGAAATGTGCAGTTTAAAATGGTGAATTTTATGGTATGTGAGTTGTATCAGAACAAAGCTGTTATCAAAACCTTTAGGCACATGTGGGGGTTAGAATTCTGGGCTGTTTCACCCTCTTTGTAAGGTGCTTCTGAAACTAATCATAAAGATCAGAGTCCACACAGAACACATTATTTTCTTAAAATTTTCATCCTCTGTTTTTTTCTTCTCTTTTTATTTCAGCAGAGGAAGCTAGATGCTTTTGTGTGGCTGACATCAAACTTTTTATTGCTTCATCATTTTTGTAGCCATGGAAAAGGGAACAGATGGTAACCTTAAAAGAGAAATGTTCAATTTGGGGGAGAGGTTTTTATCTTTGGCTGCTACTCTTTGAAATAATTCACTTGCATGATCCATATATATATATGACTACCTACGTAAGGCAAAATTTGGTTTCCGATTAGAATTTTAAACCTATGGGGATCTATAGTGGAGGTGAAATGTCTTCCCCATGAGATCATAGTTTCAGATTTGTTTGGTGTGAAAAATATTTCTCTATTCTTCTTGTTCACTTACAGTCTTTCTAAAAATGACTTCCATTTTCCAAGGCCAAGGAAACTTTTGTAAAAGCAGTGTTTTGTCAGTATTTGTTGACTCTCCTGGTATTATATCTGGTCAGCGTATGTGTTATCTGACTACTGTTAATTATTATTGCTACTATTCAAGGGAATTGTGGCCATGGTACATATCCAGTGTTGTAACTAGTAGAGATTTTTGGACAGTTCTTTTGGGATGTTGATTTAAAAGCAAAGGTTGGGGGCCGGGGAAAGGAGGGATCGGGGTCACAATAAGGGGGTTGTAATTGTATGGGGAATATAAAAATAAAATTTAAATAAAAAAATAAAAGCAAAGATTGGGATCCATGTTTAAACCTCCTTAGCATGCTTACCTGGTGGCCTCTGACCTTTCGCAACATTTCCACATGTACAGTGCCACGCCTCCTGCAGAGACTGGCAGCCTGTGCGACGCTCATGTGGATGCTTTGCCAAATGCCAGTTGCCAAGGAATGTGTTTACGGTTTGGGAACCAAGGGCAGGCCAATTGAAGAAATGGTTTCTTTTTCCTTCCTTTTCACCTGCTGCCTTTACTGCTTGCAGGAAGATCTGCCTGCATTGCAAGTGCCCTCAGGAGGAGCACATGGTGACAGTGATGCCCCTGGAGATGGAGAAGACTGTCAGCAAACTCATGTTTGACTTCCAGAGGAACTCGACCTCGGACGACGACTCGGGCTGTGCCTTGGAGGAATATGCCTGGGTTCCGCCAGGTCTGAAGCCTGAACAGGTACATTTCTTGACTTGAGAGCAGTTGTGGTTTTCCTTTATCTTGCCCGTCCTCCCTCATTCCTGATCAGAAGGAAGGGCTGGCTTTGCTGATTGAGAGAGGGGTTGGGGCCAAATGGGTCGACATGGCAGGGATCCAGTGAAAAATGAGGAAGAGTAGTAAGACTGAACCTGTATGCCTCATTCATAACAAATGCTAATTGACACTGTATTGCAATTATTGGCTGTTAGCAGGAAATTATCTAGAAACTTCTCGTAAATGTTGGCTTTGAAACATTAAATAGTGAAACTTTATTTCTGGAGGGAGAGGAGGAATCTGGTGGCCATGAATCTTCATGTTAAGATTTCTTGTAAAGGCGGGTTGAGGAACTATGAATTCACCTTATTCTTCCCAGTGATATATGTTGTGCTTAAGTATTAAATTTGGCCTTTCTTTTCAAGGAAAGACATTGGCATTTCCTGAAGTTTTTGGTACTGTCCACAGGCTGTAAATATTATTGGCTCTATTAGATCAACTTGGTTTCTTTCTGTGTCACTGCTTTTTTCTCAGTGATGTATACAACCTCAGCTTTACATTTCTTGGTACTTGGAATTTTCTCTGCTACCAGCCTCGTGTTGGTGTAGAAGCTCTGTAAGTGGATATTTTCATGATCTTCCCTGTGTATCTTTAAGAAACATATTTATCAGAATCTTAACTATCCAGTCATTATTCTCCTCCTCTGACACATACAATTTCTTTCTTCAGAGATGCAAATGCCTGACAGACATCTTGAAGCTTGTCTTCAAGGCCTGGATATTTTAAGTCAGGGATTTTAGATGGGATATAATGTTTTAGAAAAAATTATTTATAATTAAGGAAGACCCAAAAAGTCGCCAACCACTGATCTCTCTCCTTAGTCATTTCTCATTTTCTTCTCTCAATATTAAGTTTGCCAACTGGGAGGTGAAATCAAGATAACAAGCAGGATTTGTTTAGTCAGCAAAGTATTATTTAAATTTTCAAAGTAGTTACTAATACTTAAAAATGAGATTGGTTTTTGGAAGTTCCTATTTGTGTCTTGAAAAATCGAGGTATGCTGGCCTTTGAGTTGAGTACTCATCATTCTTTTTAGATAGTATGAACTCTCCGAATCACCCTAGTCTCCACTCGATCCTTTGTTGTTACCATATTAAATCCTACAGGTACTTCTATTTTGATCTTCTTTCTGATTATTACTACAGAAAAAATTATCATAGAATAGAAACATTTATAGAATATAATCTCTATGAGAACTGAAGGGAGTTCTTTGTTGGGATATTAACTGGAAGAAATAAGAGTATTTACTCTCAGTTTGTTAGGCTGAGGTTCTAACTACTTTCTTTGTTTAGTAAAGATTATATTATTAAAGAATAAGAGAGATTGAGTTTGCCTGGAAACTCAGATGAGGTGGCAAGTGACTGAATGTCTTTGTCTGACATCGCCATTCTACTGCTAGTGCTTGAACAGTGAGTTTTCACACCTGGAACATCTGTTAGCTTGTTTCATTTTCTTGCTAACCTCATTTCCAGAAGCTTCTAACAAACCCTTCTTTCTTTTGTTCACATTTTTTCCTGTTAAATTGGATCCTGAATTCTCCAAAGTAAAGCTGTTTTCAGTTCCTTTCTTAAGATTCTCCCTAAGACCATTTAACATCTTTCTCTGATGTTCAGATTCAGGAAAAAAAAATGCTTTTGGCCCCAGAGAACAAACAATTGCTGAAGGTAGGGCCTTGGTTAAATTCACCAATTCCAAGAATGAGTGAGTGCTTGATAATATCTTTGAAGGCCACTTGACTCATCTGAAATGAATGCCTTTGGGAAACATAAAACAACTTTCTCTGATTTGTTTTGGGGAAAAAAAAGATTAATGCTATTAAACAAGTAGTTTGAATTATGTCAGATGAAAGGATATGCTCATCTCTTCTAATTCTCTTGTTCTGCGGATGGTTTTCTCTATTCCCTACACTAACTCAAACCTCTATGGCACAGATGATTAGAAAGGGAAATTGTACTCGAGAGAGAGAATATCTCTTCAAGCTATTTGGGGAACTCTCTATTTGCTTAATAAAATATGAGTCTATATATGTATATATATATATGTGTATATATATATATATATATATATATTAAAGGTGTTTGAAGGGAATATATTACATGAAACAAATGGACTTCAAATCTTTTAACTAAAGAGATATTTTGAAGTCTGTTACTTGTGGAACTGTTTATGGGTTTGAAGATTTTTGAAAAGCTATCTGGTGTAATCTAAGATTAGAGAGTATTCAGTACCCTGACTGCCTTTCACTAATAAAAATTCTGATATTTAATAACATGTTACCTGTCTCTGATTTGAGAAAAACCATTTTCTATCAAGAAATTACAGTGAACCATTAAAATGCTTTGTGCTGGAGGCAAAATACTAAAGACTGGTTAGGGTTGAAAGTAATGTGCTTTCATTTTTGTTAGGAACCTTTCATTTCACAACTTGATCATGGGGTTGGCAATGTACCTTCAGGTGACACTCTTATTATTCTATTTCTTCTGAGAAATGCCTTCAATTAAATATAATACAAACATCAGTCATCCCCCAATTAAGGAGGTAATCTCGAATATGCACATCTAATTCCATGAAAATCTACTAGCTATAAAACTCAACCTTCTTAAAATAGTGTGGAAAATGCCAAATATCACAGATGATGCCAGAATGGAAAGGCATTTGTCTTGTGATTTTTAATGACTGGACTGGAAACTAATCAGATTGTTTGCTTGCTTCATCTCTGCTCACTCCCAGTGAGATGTTTCTTGTCAACAAGAGAGTCCTGTAGTAGCAGAACAGAGAGCTGGAGTCAGAATGCCCTGACTGATGAACAACTGATGTCATCTGTAGGGTTTCATGTTCTCTTCAAATTCGAATAGTTCTCTCTCCTAGAAACTCTGTAGTGATACACTTACACTAGGTAATTCTCCAGGAAGAATATGGGGATTTTTTTAAGAAACTATACAAAAGGTAAATGATGAACAGGGTTTCTTGGCCTATTTACTGTTGACATTGTTAATTCTTTGTTGTGGGGCTGTCCTGCACACTGTAGAATGATGAACAGCACCTGTTAGACTCTACCTAGTAGATGCCAATAGTACACATCATCCCCTTCCCTGATATTGGGGTGACCAGATATGTCCCCACACATTGGGCAATGTTCTGGCAGGGTTGGGCTCCCTGGATGAGAACCAGTGGGTGTAAGTGATATTAAAACCTCAGGATATATCAGCAAGATTCTGGCCCCATTAAGACAAAGAGAAGATGTAAATCAGCAAACATTTGTTTGAGCACCTACCCTATCCCAGTGTTGGTACTATAGCTAGCTCTCTTTGGAATTATATGGCAGGATGAAAATGTGATGTGGTGTTGGCATGCTGCATGATCAGAGTCCAGTGCTCTGGGTGGGGGTCAACCTCAACCCTCTGTAGGTCAAACCAAGAATTGGAGTAGTGAGAGGAGCTGGTGGTGGAAGGGTCACCTTTTGTTTTCAGAACAGAAATTGCTTTTGCCTCTTATAAAAGGAAGTTTTGCTAATTGAAATGGAAAAGAAAATATGAACAAGCAAATAAAAATCACTTATAATCCCACCAACCAACTAAGGAATGTTGTTTTCCAACCATTTTTTTTGCATCCTTGTGACAAGTATTTATGTATATAGGAGTATATTTCTGTTTTGTTTTAGACAAAAATGTGTTGGTGTCATCCATTTACCCTTTTATTCACTTCGGAATGTGTATGTGGGTGTGTACATAGTGGGAATGGGTTCCCCATTGTGTTTGTTTTTTTATTTATTTCTATTTAAAGATTATTTATTTATACAAGCACTGGGTATAGTCAGAAGTGCAGGAGGGTGAGAGAATTCACCAGAACCAGAGTGGGGAACAGAACAGGCAGACTGACGAAATACACTGCTGAGGGGAGCAGCGGGTATGGCAGGAGAGGTCTGTGCACCATGTGAGGCTGCGGACAGCTTTGCAACCCAGTGCTCAACCACTGTGCCACCAGGAAGGCTCAGTTTCTTTTTTTAATTATTTATTTATTTATGTGTACAAGGGCTCAGGTGCAGGCCAGAGATGTGGGGGGTCAGAGGATTTACCAGAGACAGAGTGGGGAGCAGAGCAGGTGGATATACTGAAACACACTGCTGAGGGGAGCAGTGGGCGTGATAGGAGATAGTTTGATCCCTGGCCGGGGATCAAACTCGTGGTTCAGTGGCTGCAGATAGCTTTATAGTGCTGTGTCTTAAGCCCTTCTGCCACCACGGAGGCCCCCATTGTGTTTCTGACTTACCGTGGTGACCTAGAGGTATTTGGAAATGTGTGTTTGGGAAGGGTTATTGTCGAAAAGACCTCAGGGTTCACTAGCATTTTAATGAATAGGAGCTTGAGATGCTGTACATATTGACAAATACCAGATGATCCTGCTCAAAGGAGAATTGACTCCTCCCCAATGCCGAGAGAATCATAATGGAGCAATCCTGAGCTGAAGATTTGGTTTTAAACATGCGTATTTTTGGCAACTTGATATTAAATAAGGTGGCAGCAGCAAACCATCCTCTCTACTTGCCTGTTCTCCTAAAAGAACAATTCCTGGAGGTGGAGTGGTCGTGTATAAACCACTTTTTAAAATTTGAATTTAATTTTTAATTGAGGTATAATTGACATACAGCATTAGTTTTAAGTACTAGCATAATGATTAGATATTTGTATGCTTTGCAAAATGAGCGCCACGGTAAGAATAACATCTATACCATATATAGTTACAAAATGTTTTTTCTGGTGATGAAAACTTTTTTTTGAAGGTTTATTTATTTATTTACACAAGAACCAGGGTATAGGCCAGATGCGTGGGAGGATGAGAGGATTCATCAAAGACAGAGCGGGGAACAGAACAGGCAGACTGACAAAATACACTGCTGAGGGGAGCAGCGGGCACAATAGGAGAGT